GATAATTCCTAACATTGTGTACTGCTAGATAAATTTTCTAATAGAGACTACGTTCTCATTTCGGCTTAAGTGACTTTTCTAAGGAATGATCTCCATTGCAAGTTGTCGTTAAACGTCAATTAATGCTTTTCATTTATTATAAAGTCGTAAACCAATAGGAATAAGTTCACGTCACATTCCCTTATATATGCATATGGCTGTAGGGGCGTGTGTAGCGCAGTGGTAGAGACGTCCTGCAATACACATGACAGATCCCCGCTCCCCAGGCTCACCAGGCTCTCCATCCTTCCCAGTTCGGCAGATTGATACCAAACTTATCTGGAAGGATACCAGCACTGGCTCGATGTATCGGTAGGCCACCGCGACTCATTATAAAGTTATGCATTCAGTCACCTCCAACGATGCTTAATGAAGTCGTATATATAGCGCATTCCTCAGGTAAAGATCAACGCCAAGAGCTTTATCCATTTTTATTCTTCATAGACAGATTTCCAGATGTCAGCTGCAGGAGACTGACTGAATGAGGTAGCGGTAACGAAAACACAATAAAAAGGGTGAAAGCTAGTATCTCCTATCACGCAATCATAAAGTGATTCGGAATTTCCTACTAACACTTACGATTAAGAGCCAGAGACGTTGAGGTATAAAGAAGAGCTCGAAAATCAGATGGACCGTACATGTAAATTGTTTCAACGATAACCGATTAACAGGATCAAATACATTCGCTCGTACGAACTGCCCTTGTTGAACTGATGCCAGGTTGATATAAGTTGTCCTTGTTGTTCTTAAACAATAGCCTTATAACCACAACGATGCTGAGATTCGTATTTAATGCTGAGATATACACCTGCGGTCTGGAGTTTTGCAAATATCTCAGCATTACATACGAGTTATATTTCGCAACATACCCTGCCATTAAAAAGAAAAAGGCAGTAAATAAAAGGGTTAAGATGCTGAAATTCTTGAAAAACTCCGGACTGCTGGTGTTTGCGGTGGAGACCTAACAAATCACCCTTTCCGGGGGCTAACACGTTCACTAGGACATCATATGAATATATACATATATATATATATATATATATATATATATATACTTGGATACTTGAATGGTCCATCCTCACTGGTTGTGCGGGCCCCAACATAATCTCCATTTTACGGAGATTTGCCGGTTAAGCCATTATGGTTTCCTGAAGTCCCGAGGTCAGGTTGGTCAAAGTCTACCCCAGGTCTTCACCACCACAGGAAGTCGCAGCCCCTGTGGAACAGAGGAGGATTTGCCATCATGCAACTCTGATACCAAGACGGTGGTGGATCCTGGCATTGGTTTACTCTTAGTGGGGCTTCCTGGTGGGAACGCCGGACTTCTTCTCAGATTGGGAGACCCTGCCGAAGGATGAATCCCCACTATATATTGCAGCCCGACACTCAGAAACACCTCCCAGCCATCATGCGGCGATAAAGCGTTGAGAGCGTCCTCGTAAGTACAGAAGGCATGTACCACTTCATTATAGCAGAAACAGAGAGTCCATCCCGTGAATCCACCTACGTCTGCGGCAAGCAACGTTCGCTTAGGTCCACCATTAACCCTCTATCCACTACCTGAGGATGAGCCATGTTGTCCGGAGACTAATCAGAATGAGATCTCTCTATGAGGGAAATCAGTGACGCGGCGGGAGTATAGTAACTATTCCTCGAATAGTTCCTATTTTCAATATTGTCGTATGTTTTCTATGTCAACTGTTTACTGGTGACCATGCAACATTTATCCTCACATTCTGCAAATTGTTTCTAAGCGACAGCAGTTAGTTTTTTCTTGCAATCTGGTTTCCCAAATGGCATCGAGTTGAATGTAGTTGAGTGGAGCACCGCATGAAATAAGTCATCAGTGATTTATAGCGATCTCTTGTATGCTAAGTAGTAAAAAAAAATATCTTCGCAGTTTTTTCTTCTCGGAGTGGATAGAGGCTATTTATAACCCTTACTAACCAGAAAAAAAACCTCCTTAATCTTGGAAACCAGGCCAGATTCGAAATCCGCCCTTACACTTTTCGGAGGCTCACGTTCTACCAACTGCACCACTGAGACCCTCGTTCCACCTTACATTCGGCCGGTTTTTCATCCTAACGGTGCCATGGACAATCACCCGATTTGTGTTCTCCAGTTTACTCAACTGGGCTAGTCTGGAGAGCACAAATCGGTATTGTACCCACTTAAGCTGAGGCTGTTGTCAAAAGCATAATGTATAACTTCTTATCGCGGCCTATTATTTTTTTAAGCCGGGTATGTTCTAATATACAACCATCATGATGCTGAGATGTTTGCAAAACTTGGACCACAGACCCCATCGGCAAGCTCTGAAATCGTGCAATCACCTAATGTAATGATGTGTGTGTGTGTGTGTGTGTGTGTGTG